CCGCGGGGTCTCTGGCTTGCCCAGCCCCTCGGGAGGCTCCCGAGAGCTTGGGGAGGAGACGCGGGCCCAGGGAGAAGGTGTGGGTGTGTCCACGTTTAAACGAGCAGAACTAATGGACTTTAGAGGCCAAGGACACTGGACAGAAACTACCCGCCAGGTCCAGCGCGTTACCGCCTCAGCCGAGTCGACCCGGCCCTGTGGAAAACTGATGATAGTGTCCACCGCCTTTTTCTTATTTCACAACATGCAGAGCCCTGCAGAAGTCCCTCAAAGCCGGCATCCAGGTCAAGGTTGGCCCGCTGGGGTCCGCGCAGTGACCGATTGTGGCCAGGCCCGGTTGGTGGCACTTTCCTCCACCTGCCCTGGGTCCCCTAAATGCAGGGTGGAAGGAAGCAAGAGTCACCCTGCCCGAGGGCAGCGGCTGTCCCCACTTTCTGTCCAGCATGGGGTTTCTGCTGGGCGCAGAGCGGAAGGCAGCGGAAACTGTGCCTCCCCCACCCCATTTCTTAAAACTACCGGACACACCCCAGGGCTGGAACTCTTTGGGCATCTTTGTTTTTGTTTGAAAATTTAAAAAGATTCTTAGTATTTTATTTATGCACACGAGAACAGGGGTGTAGACCAGAGGTGGGGGGAGGGTGAGAGGACCCACCAGAGACAAAGTGGGGAGCAGAAGAGGCAGACTTACCGAAATCCAGGGCTGAGGGGAGCAGCGGGAGACAGGAGGGGTCTGCTGTGCCCTGAGGGTCCCTCCCTGGCCTGGTCAGGCTGCAGCTGGCCAGCCAGCGACAGCTTGAGAGCGCTGAGACTTAGCCCCTGCGCCACTGGGAGGCGTCTTTGGGTGTCTTTGCCCGAGGGCATTCTAAGTGGCCCTCCCGCAATGTGCCCCTGCAACTACAGAATCCAAACTGACAGGTCTAAGAGGCGAGTGTGGGAAATGGGACAGGCGTTATCCTGGAGAGGATTAACTCTGAGGACAGGGAGTGGTGGGACTTTGGGCTCTGACGCTGCTCTCCTCCTCTTTCTGTTTGTGTATGCTGCTGCGGTTCTGGCAGTTACTGGCTCTAAGAAAACGGGGAAACATGTCGGAGTTTTGGCTAATTTCCGCCCCTGGCGATAAGGAGAATTTACAGGCCCTGGAGAGGATGAATACCGTGACCTCCAAGTCCAACCTGTCTTACAACACCAAGTTCTCGATCCCTGACTTCAAGGTAAGATGCTTGGGAGGAGGAAGCCAGTGAGGGGTGCGCCCTGGGCTGTATCTGGGGGGCTGCGGAGAGTAACGGGCAGAGGCTGCGGCTGGGGGCCGGCAGGGGTGGTGGTCTGGGCGCGACGCTGCAGTCATCCAGCATCTAGTGTGGACAGCGGACTGAGAACTGCAGAAAAGAACAAGAGGGTGGGGAGCGGCATGGATAGCGCCCCAAAGTGTGAAGAGCATTTTGCACATCTGACTCCTTGTGAGTTTCCCCGACTCTTCTGTTTGACCTTGAGCATCTAGGAGCATTGCAGTTTAAACCTGCAGGCTCGGGCGGGGGGCTTCGACCTTGATTGGAGCCGGACCTGTCTGGTGTGAAGACGGGGAAGAAAGGGGGGTTCTGGTGACCGGGCGGGGCAGAGCGAGGTTGACCAGCACACGGCCATGCTGTTGCAGTGGAGCTCAGAGGTAAATGAAGCAAACGCCCAAGGGGGCGTGAGATGGACAGAGCTCTTTGTCCCAAAGGGGTGGACGGCTCACAGCGCTTCCTCAGATTGTGGGTTTGCAGGGGGCAGTTCGAGCCCCCACCCCCCACCCCCCGCTGGCGGCCAGGGTCTCCTCTTCCAAACTTGGTTTTTCCTGCCAGAAGAGCATGGTGATTTGCGCGTTTGCCGGTGGCGAAGGGGCAAGGTGCTGGCCCCGGCACCCTAAGCGTATCATCTGGAATGTGCTCACCTCCCACCCCCAGAATAGGACGGGCAGAGGAAAGTGGTCGATCAAACATGGGTGTCCCCGGCCCTGACCACACCTCTTGCCGGCCCAGCACAGATCCCCACGCCGGCCGCCAGCGGCTGGAAGTCAAGTTGCTTGCACGGGAAGGAGCGCAGTCACTGGCAGGCTCAGAGCCGCTCGCCACCTTCCGGTGTCCGCTGTGCTACGTCTAAGAGGACGTGGTGACCAGCGCTGCCCTCTCATCCTGTGAAGGCACCTTTAACACAGTTTTGGACCCTGTCACGAGAAACAGACCTTCAGGTGACCCGAAAAGGATTTCGTGGGCGATCAAGTGGGAGGAAGACTATCGCTAAAGCGCAGGCCGGAGAAAGGCCGGGTCACCTTGGGAAAGAGACTTCCAGAGAGGCTCTCTTCATTGCTTGCTCCGTAGTGGGCGGTGGGGTCAGCCACCGGGCCAGAGAGCCGGGCGGGGGGCCAGGCGACCGAGTCACTGGGCCCCCCGCCCCAGGCAGAAGCCCCACATCCATCCTGCGGCCCAGACGAAACCCTCCAGTCCCCCCGTTTCCCTCCGAGCTCTTCGCAGCTCCCCGTGTGGCTTCTGAGCCAGGACAACCACCTCAGGAGGCAGAACTGTCCAGAGCGCTTTGCTGCAGTGCACCTGCCCTCCTGCCGGCTAGGGCGAGCCTCTGACTTCTTTGCCACTCTCCAGGTGGGGACCTTGGATTCCCTGGTCGGCCTCTCTGACGAGCTGGGGAAACTGGACACCTTTGCTGAAAGGTAAACTGCGTCTTATTTACCCCACACAAGGGCCCGTGGGACAGTGTTTTCGAAGGACGAGGTGCTCTTGCTGCGGCTGGACCCGGACTTGACCGAGCCCGGGCCGGAGGCGGACACACGGCTGGGCGGCGTGAGCCGCCGTCAGCAGCAGCCCCGGGCCCCTGCATAGTTTTGGGGGAGGGTGCCAGGGTCTGTTTTAGGGGTTGTCTTGACCGTGAAGACAGCGCAGCACGAGGGGCTGAAGCTTCCAGAAACAGGCGTGCCGTCCCCGGGGGCTCTGTTTGGTTTTACTTTCGTCGGGACCTGTTCAGAGTCGGCGGCAGAGGCGCCGGGGAGGGCTCTCCAGGGACAGTTTCGTTCCCTCTCGCTGTCCCTCGCTTTCCTCTTCTGAGGCAATGTTACCATCTTCCCGGGCGGCCTTCGGAGCAGGCTGCGCGAGCCAGCAGACAGGAACACGTCCTGCGACGCAGCGTGCGTGCTCGCGGCCCGTGTTCTCTCGGACCAGCGCTCTCCGCGTTACCCGTCGGGCAGCTCTGGGGCGCCCCCACCGCTTGCGTCCCCGGCGCCCCGCTTCGAGTAGACAGACCTGACTCACTTGAATCTCCCTGTTGGGGGACCTATGCTGTCTAGTGTTTTCTGCCCTGTTGAGCGTCCTTTGCCCCTGTGCTCCTGGGGGGTGGGGGCGGGCCAGTAAAAGTTGGACCCTGGGGCGCAGAGGTTTGGGCCTACAGTGGGGTGGGCGCGGCCACAAAATCACCCCGCGAAACTTGCTCCCGAAGCCTCCCCTCCGCGGGACGGGGTGACGGGGCCTTCTGCGCCTCACGCAAGAAGGAAGCGGGCTCAGCTCGGGCGAAGTGTTATCAGATCCCAGCACCTGCGCCACGGGCAGTTAGCATCTGAGCAGGTGACTTTACCCTGAAGTAGCGACTCCTTTCTCAGGCTGCTCCGCCTGGGCAGGTGGGGGCAGGCTCCGACATGCCCCGGGGCGGCCCGCGGGCGCTGGGGTGACTTCTGTGTTCTGTGCAACTTGCGTCTGTGTGAGCTTCAGGTGACCCGCCCCAGGTCTGCTGCAGAATGACAGCAGCTTGCTACCTCTCTGGACCTTTCTTGGAACCCGGTGTCTGTCCTGGTCAGCGTTGTGCCGGTCCGACTCCCCAAAGCCCCCGTCTGTGACCTCTGTGGCCTGCGTTGCTCCTGCGGACTCTTCCCCAGAGGGCCCGGTGCCTTGTCCTGCGCCTCACGTGGGACGAGTCGCCTGTGACGGTGCAGCCGCAGGTGTTTGGTGGGGCATGGCAGGCCAGCAAGGTGAGCGCGGCCGCTGTGACTCAGTAGGGCCCGTTGAAGTGTACGTCTGGACCCCGAAGGGGTCAGAATGGAAATCCCTGGGCCTTGTTTTAATTTTCCTGTGGCTATTCAGCCCCAGGAGCCTCCCTGTGGGGGAGGGAGGGTGGCGTGGTCCGAGCACCCCCAAATTCTTATTGCTGGCGTTCACCTGGCCCAGGGGGTCGGGTGCCTTATCTTAGGGGTTGGTTCGCAGCGGGGCCTGGGGCACAGTAATGGGGTTATACCAGTAACACACAGAGGCTGCTTCAGTTCTTTGAAATGTCCTACCTGGTTCTTTGAAAAGTACTCAAGTGTTTTTACATAAATAAATGCGAGCTGGGTCATAACCCAGGCAGCAGCGCAAACCTGTCAGCGCTGCCTCTGGCCAGGAGAACAGAGAAAGGACACCCGTTTCAAGGTGTATTGTTTCCACATCCTTTTATTATTTATTTACTGGGGCACTGGAGTGTTTTTCCATGTAGCTGGAAGGCAGGTTCTGCTTACTGGCGTTTTCCTTTTATTTCTCATTGACTCGCTCATGCTCCTTTGTTCATTTTCACTCTGTATTTACCCTGCACATCACAACCCCTTGAAAGGCTCCCCCACCCCTAAATAAACGCCGCAAGTCCTTGAGGAGCCTGCCTGGCTAGGAGGGGCTGGCCGCAGCGCTCCCTTCCACAGAGCTTGGGCACGTGAGCACCTCTGGGGTTCCCCAGACACTCGCTCCCCAACTGTGGCTCCCCAGGTGTGCCCCCTGACGGCAGAGAGCTGGGCTCCTCCGCACAGGGACCCCAGGGGCTGAAGGAGGGGTGACCCAAGGTCCAAGCGCCCCCTGGGTGTGGATGCCGGCTCAGTGGTGCGGATCTGGGGGCCAGCCCTCGGGGGGCATTCTAAGGGGAAACAAACTGGATTTTACAGAAGGTGACCACCCCGCTCTCTTACTGCAGGAAGGTCACCTTGAGGCTTTGGGTGTGGCGTTGGGTCCCCGCATACCAGCACAGCAGCAGGATGCTCTCTGGAGGCTGAGCGCTCAGCCTGGCCTGTTGGCTGCAGGGAGTCGCTTCCCGCTGCCCTCCCCAAACACCTGCTCATCGGCCAATGCCAGCCTGGGCTCCCCACTTTCCCACGCCCCCACTTGTCTTCAGGGCTGCCGCTCTTCCCTGTGCTGCGCATCCAAGGGCTCCCCTCCTGCAGGGCCGGGCCAGGGCGCACTTGTGTAGCTCCCTGGGGGCTGTTGCTTAGCATCCGTCTCCCAGCTCGGCTGTGAGTCCACGAGGCCAGAGGCCAGGCTTGAACAGCTCGGTCCCCAGAACCCGTAACGTCTCAGGTCCTTGCTGACCAGTGAGTAGTGAGTGAAGAGTCCTGG